GTCCCAAGTTCCAGCCCACACTTAAGAGGAGGAGATCCCACAGGAGCATAAGGCCCAGGAGGTGGAGATCATCAGAGATGCCCCCTTCACGTGCTTTTTGTGGTAACCGATTTATTTATACTTATTTCTATAATTCTATTAGATCTTTTCTGTTTACCATCCTCTCCTTCTCCCTCCCCTCCTCCCTCTCACTCCTCCTCACTCACCCCTCACCAGAGTCTTTCTCCCTTACCTCACCCACCTGTCCTGTTCTCTAACCTGCCTCCTACTCTGGCTTCTGTCTTCCTTCCCCTATTTTACCCAATCCTCCTCTCCAGGCCTTCCTCGCTCATTTTCTGAAACAGTACATTCTGGACCATCAATCCATCTTCCACAGTTCTAAGCTTTTACCAGACTTTTTATCTTTAGTTTTTTTTTTTTTTATTTTTTAAGACAGAGTCTTACTCTGTTGCCCAGGCTGGAGTGCAGTGGTGCAATTATAACTCACCATAGCCTCAAACTCCTGGGCACAAAAGATCCTCCTCCCAAGTAGCAGGTATGTGCCACCACAGCCAGCTAACTTTTTATTTTTATTTTTTTGTTGAGATGGAGTCTTGCTTTGTTGCCCAGTCTGGTCTCCAGTTCCTGGACTCAAGCAATCCTCCCGACTTTTTATCTTTGTCTTCCATTGCTACATTCTTGCTCAAATCTCTGTACTTCATTTTACTTTGATAATTTTTCCTTTGCTTCATTTTTTATTTTGTAGATTTTTAAATGTATAATCTTAACCTATTTGGGGGTTAGCCTATGTGGTTCATAATTTCTTTTTTGTAAATCAGAAGTTACTTCGTTTTATCTTTTTGAGCAACCTAAATATGCATATTTAAAATTCTTTATCATTTGGAGATAGTAATACTGGCTGGATATCGATGATGCTAAGGAATTCATGTTAAGTTATTTTTGATATGCAGTTGTACTATGGTTCTGTTTTGGAAAATAAAAGTCCTTATTTTTTAGAGCAGTGTATTGAAGCATATGTAGTTGAAGTGATCTGTAAGAAACTTGGGGGTGGAGAAAGTGGAGGGTAGAGATGAAAGAAGATCTCTTTAGTTTCTAATTGTTGAAGCTTGCTGATGGCTACCCGGGGTTTTATTGTATTCTTCTGTCTTCTTTAAATTTTTGTATAATAAAAAGTTTTTTAAATCCTTTGTCATATTGTCCTATAAAATTAATGTCATCTGGCGTGAATTTGTATTTCAGTTATTGCTTTTATTGGTAGCCTTTTTAGAAATTATATTTTGTCACATATTTGAGATTTGGTTTGCAGGTTCATTTGGAGTAGAAAGTTCAACATTTCTATCGTCACCTACACATGACCCCAGTGCGGGACCAAGTCTGATTTTGGCCTTCTGAGGCCTGTCTCTGCAGTGGTCCTAATGATATTGCAGAGGCAGGAACTGAGTCACTAGGTATATTTGTGGTTCAGGGGCTGGATCTGTACCCTCTGGGATTTCTAGGTTTAAGCAAACTGAAAACCCCAGCCCTCAGTGGAGGTCTTCAGACGTTTTTTAGATCAGCTTCTTATTTTAGGGAGATCCCTAGGCTGCAGGTGGCCAGCCTGGCTTTAGGCCCCTACTTGTGTGGAGGTGGTTTATTCTGACCCTTCAGGATAAAGAGGGGTCCTGACTGCCTCTGCCTGCTCCAGACCTGGAGCCAGCAGGCCTGTGCTTCAGCCCCACCCACTGCTTTGCATTTCTGTTCTGTGTTGGATACTTTAATCTTGTTTTTGAACCTGTCCATGTCTTTTTGGTCACCTGTTCTATATTTTTTCTGCCAGTGCTATGTGTTTGGAGTAGGGTAGAGGCACCAAAGTGTGAACTCACTGTGTCATCTTGACTGGAGGAGGTCCTTGACTAAATCATGCAGATTCTCTCAATTCTCTATTCAAAGACTGTCATCTGCTGAGTACATGTTCACAATGGTGATATTTTACTTTGTATTAGAGACAAGATTCTTAATTCCATGTTTTTTTCTCCTGAAGACTTTCTCAGAAATCTCCTTAGGGAAAATAGCAACCCGCTAACCCTACAAGTGAATCTGTCTTATGGTCTCCCTGGCACATCTCTCTCTGAAATTATTTATCTGCACACACATTTGTGTCTCCCACTGGGATCTAAGCTTCATGATAGCAGAAACTCTCTCTGGCTTCCCTGTTGTGTCCTCAGTCCCTTTACGATGCTATCTGTCACATGGAGGTCCTGCATGGTGTTCTGGTAAGTGACGCACTCAGACACTGAAACCACAGTTATGTTGTGTGCTGTGTGGCCTCTCATGAGTGCTAGCTAGGAAGCTGCTATGAGACTGTGGGGCAGCTGTGTGGAGTGGCGGGTGCTGCCCGATGTGCTCTTACATATGTCACAGCCAGGCCACTGAGTACCTGCTCTGGGCCAGGCACTGACACACAGGCGTTTGTGTCATATTCAGTTTCTACAGCCATTTTTTGTGTCACTTCCTGTCCATCGTCAGTTGTTGGGATTGCATTCTAAATCTCAGAGATGAGCAGAGCTGGTGGGCAGTGCTTTGTAGTGGATGAATCAGAGGTAGTGAGCTTGCCACCCTTCTGGCTCACTTGTGACAAAGTCAAGGTGCTGGGGATATGGTGCACGTGGTGGAGTTTTCATTCAAGTGGGAGGCACAGCCTCATCCCTCTCTAAACAGTTCATTTCATTCTTAACTGCTCGATTGTGTTGCATTGGACATGAATAGAAAAGCAGACCTTGATGTCCTGTTTCTTTCTGTTGTATGAACAGTCTCTAGCCTGAGGAGGTGCTGATGGTTAGGCATCTTCACCTAACACTTGAGTTCTGCCTCCCATTCCTCACATCGACATCCTATTGGCACAGGCTCTGGAAGCTTCGGTATGAACTTTCTGGTAGCCTCGGCCCAGAGGAGGCATCACAGTGTGTCAGTGGGATGGTGGTGGATGTGTGGACGCACCTCCTTGTCTCTGCTGCTTTACTTGACCCTAGAGAATGGCAGGTGAAGAGCCTTACAATGGTTTTGCCTTCAGACGTCATCTTCCTGCTTGGCTGGGACTGCTGGTCAAAAAATGTCAGGTCCAGAGCCCTCAGAGACTTTCTTGTACTGGCTGCTTAATTGCATCAGACGAGCTTCTCCTCTGACGGCACCAGGGATTGGTAACAGTTAAGTGCTGGGCTGCCGAGAGGCCCAGCACAGATTAGCCATGCTTGCATTCCTGGGACGCAGCTTCAGCAGCACACTTTGAAAAGCCCTGCGAGAAATTCCTGGCATTCAGTCCCACTGTTTGTATTTAGCTTTTCTGAAGCATTGGCATTCCAGAGGCATGCCAGAAGCCTTCCTGGCATTTTTAGATCCTCTGCAGCTGCCTGGGGATCCAGGTTACTACTTCTCCCTTCTGCAGGTAAAGGGAAAACAGACAAGATAGCAACTTGCTCAGGCTTCCTAGAGGCCACTCAGTGATAGAGCCAGTATGAGAACTTGACTCTCAGGGTTTCAGCCAGCCACCCATGGCCTGGCATGGTCCTTTCACCTGAGTTTTTCTCCTGCTCTGCACTCAGGGGCACTGCTGGGTGGTCAGCTTTTATTATAGACTTCCCTGCTGGTGGTTCCGCAAGGTTCCTTGCCAGCAGGATTAGCATTGCCAGGGAGATGGGTTTTCAAAAACATGGGTTCCTATCTTACCCTGTGCTATTGAATGATTCAAAGCCATGTGCTGATACCATATTGTGGCTTAAAAGGAAAAAGCTCAGGGCTTGGAAGTCGTATGAACTTAGGTTCACAGTCTAGCCTAGTCGCTGGCTAGCTTGTACTCCTGGGGGTGGTAAGGATTAAGTGCCATCAGGAGCCTAGCAGAGTGCCTGAGCACACTCAGCCCTAGCACAGGGACAGACAGCGAGCAGATGGTGTTATTCCTCTATACAGTCAAAAAAGGCAGTCCTGAGCTCCCAGGCCCTTGTGACTGTGTCCACCCTGACCCTCAGTGTGGAGTTGTTACACAGTTGGTCCGTGGAGGTAGAGGTAGATATTGGGGCCTGGTCCTGGGAAGCCCCAGGAGACTCTGGGGACATGAGTATCCCCAGTGAGGGGACTTACATCCTTGCCCTGCCATGTGCTGGTGATGCCTTGTGGAGGCCTGTTGAGGTAGTGCCCATATCTGTTGGGGTTTCCTTTAACCTTCTGTATAGCTATGCATCGCTTCCAGCTTTACACATCATACCTGAGGAAGCTGGAGGTCAGGAACTTGTTCAAGGTCGCCTAGCTAGTTAAGGGTGGGCTCGGTTCAACTGCAGGTCTGCCTCAGGTCACTTGCCCTGGTGAGCTGAGCCCTCAGCCTAACTGGGCCTGGAGGGAGGCCCTTGGCCCTGTGCTCTAACAGGGACTCAGCCATCCCCATCAGGTGGGTGAGGGAGCAGTGACCCTCCAGCTGACTCTGTGCCTCCCTTCCTGCAGGCCTGGATCCCTGCCCTTGTGGCTGTGGCATGGCGTGGTTCCAAGCATAAAGACACCAAGGCCAGCATAGAGCTGTGTAGCTCACAGCAGCACACCCCGCAGCCAGGTACACCTGAATTGACCAAGTTTCAGTCTCTAGCACTACGAGCAGCTATGAGTTTTCCGACATTTCCTTAGGCCCCCAGTTGTTGTCTGGCTATTCATCTGTAGTGGGGGTATCATGATGATGCCACCTGCCTTTTACAACTGTGGTAAGGATCAAAGGAAATAACTGTGGGAGCACTGGTAACAGGACTCCCATAATCCTAAATGTTATTGTTCATCATCTGTGAAAAGGCTACCCATCTCGAAGGCTTGTTGTGAAAATTTAGCACAATATATGTGAATGATCTGGCATATCATAAGGTTTTCAATTCATTGTTGCCACTGTTCTCATTATGAATGTGAGCAGAAAAGTCAGGTGCCTTCTCCCTGCAGCACCAGTCCAGCACCATTGCTGCTGGCTAATATGGGCTTTGTTCTCTTCCAAGCAGGCCAGGGAGCTGGAGAGCAGAGAGGCAGAGCTAAGACGCCGTGACACCTTCTACAAGGAGCAGCTGGGGCATATTGAGAGGAAGGTAAGACTGCTGCTTGGCTGCATTTCTTGGGGCCAGGTCCTGAAGGCATCTGACCAGAACACACCACCATCATTGGGGGCTGGGGCGAGGAGCCCGCAGGCCCAGCGCCCACTCGCCCAAATGCCAATCACTCCTTGGACATGCCCTCCTGCATTCTGCAGCAGGCACCCAAATGGGGCCTTTCAACAAGTTGAATTCATGGAGATAATTGGTTTTTAATTGTCTCCCCACCCCCACTTTTTTTTGTTGTTGTTGAATGTGCCTGGCTGTACAGTAGTTCAGTTTTAGAAAAAAATTCACTTTCACCACAGGGCGGTGCTGAGTCCCAGTATACCTTTTCTACTTTAGTTAAGCTGCATTTGGTAAAAATAATAATAACGTGATGTCTTGCTATACAAATACATTAAAGTCGTATTATTGATTTTCTCCTGGGAGTCGGGAAGATCAAAGTGCACTACGGCGGCACACTCACTGCTTTTCTAAAGATAAGCCTTTGAAATGAATGAGATTTAAAGACACATCATCATGCCTTAAAAAAAAGCCTACAATGACTCTTGAAAATTCATTTGGTAACTTGCTTACTTTATTTTTTGGTTTAATTTGTGGATCATGACAGATTTTTCAAAGAAATGGCTTAAAACGTGGGAGGGGATGGTTGGGAGGTTAAAAAAGAAAATTGTTCTCCCTCATGCCTGAGACAGCATGCCAAGCAACCTGAGCCATCAGCTTATTGCAGGCAAATCTTCGCAAATCATTTGTCACGGTTTGGAGCTTTGAAATTGACAGTTTGCTTGAGGGGTCTGATTTCCACAGGGGTTTTCTCCTGTGGCATGCCACAGTGGAGCCTGGCAGAAACGTGGGTTTCTGGATTTCCAGGCAGTGTGGAAATGAGGGAGAATCTTCCATGCCCCATGAACACCTGCTTGTCCACCTTTGCCGGGTGTTTAGGGGATGGCCAGAGTTGACATGCCATGAACATAGAGTGCTGATGGTGACATCCCACAGTCTGAGGATCGGCACTGCACCTCTGAGCCGCTTTCCGAGTGGCCCTTAACAAGCAAATCTTTCACAGAGCAGCCTCACGCACAGGTTTGACTGTAGTTTATAATGACAAGGATTGTGATTTGAGATCCCAGAAAAGGGTAAAAAAGATTCCACCAGCCATAGCTCTAATTATCACAGTTGCCCGTATGTTCATAGGCACAGGGTTTTTTTATTTTTGTTTTTTGTTTTGTTATTTGTGCAATTCTTTGGCCTCCTCTGTGCTCCCCATGTTTCCTTCTCTGGACTTAGCTGCTAGAGGCATGTGTACGTATCTCTGTTTGGGATGGCAGGGAAATAGCCTCACAGCATTTTTGCCTCTCTAAAATCTGTTTTCCCATTGTCATTCTCCTCTCTCATCTCTACCCTAGTTCTCCTCCTAGAAACCAAGTCTCTTCCTTACTGAAGGAGAGGAAATTCTAGATAAGACTTCTTTCTCATCTAAGTGAAGTCCAAAGTCCTTACGTATATAGGAGTGGGCTTTTTAAAAATCGAGGTTTCTTAGATGATTGTGAAGAATTATTAAACGCTTCCAGAAGGAGGTGCAAAAGCATGATCTCCTTTCTGATTCTTAAATACAGCATTTTGCTGGTGATAATATTAAAAAAAAAAAAAAAAAAAAAGGAAAGTACCTCCAACATCTCAGGAAATGGAGATTGGTGTGGGAGATAGGAGGATTAAAGGAGAGCCAGGGGGAGAGGCAGAAAGGAGGCAGAAGAATGAGGCTTAATTGTATTAGTTTTGAAAAAGGTTTTCGATCTTCTCCTCGGATAATTTTATTCCTGTAATGGCTGGGAAGATGGAAAACACAGCATCTGACAATCTTTTTTTATTAGCTGTTGCTTTTATACGATTCCACTTTCATTTGTTGAATACTCGCAGACCTTGACATTTCCAGCTTCTGTACACATGGCTCCAGGACCTTCCAGTCATCACATCCCTTTCCTTTTTTCCCCCATTTCCTTTAAGTTTAGAAATTGACAGTAAAAACCTGTTCGGGGGAAAGTTGGATAAGCTGCAACATCATCTTTGACCACCCAGAACAGCTTAGAGTACAGTTCCGGGTGAGAGCAGGTTGAGATGGGGAGGCTGAGGGCTGGGGCTGTTGGCCAAGCTATGGTGTATCCAAGGGGCTGGCTGGAATCCTGCTGCCGTCCACCCGGGGAGGCTGGTCAGCCCCCACCTTCTACCTGTTGAGACTGGCAGGTAAGGAAAGCCTGCACAAAATCCAGACTCATTTTCAAGGAGGAAGAGAATTCTGGAACCTTTTGTCTGTAGTATATATTTCCTAAATGATTATCCTTGAGCATGGAAATCTCATTTTGTAGGGCTCCTGTGCTTTATAATATTTCTGAGTAATTGTTCCTCAAAGCCACGCTGCAAGATCTAAGCGAGGAATATTGTTTCCCTTTCCCCACAGAAAGCAGTGGGCTGTTGAGGACACATGGGCCTTGTGACGGCCTTGTACAGCACCTGAAGAAGCAGCCTGGGCATTGAGTATGGTGCAGCTGATGAAGCGTGGGCACCAGGGCCCAGGAGCCTTGGCTCCCATGCAGCAATTCAGTCACTGTGCCTCCTTTCAGCTCGGTGTCTCCATCTGTAAAATGGAGACATTAATGCTTTCTGCTGGGAGTTACTGGGAGGATTAAGGGAAGTAATGCCTGTAAAAGTGTTGGTGTGTGCCGGCAGGTGCTGGCGTACAGCAATACTGGGGTTCTATTTCATGTCATAGTGCTTCAGGTTTGGATTAATGGATGAGCATGTGTGCATGCTGAGATGGATTTTTATCATCAAAGGTGACCTGACCCCAACACCTGCTCTCTGGGATGGCGAAGCCTTCTCTCTGGGCTACATCAGGCTTTTCTCTGATGGCCTTGCAGTATCCAGCAGGCTGGGGCCATGCAATCCCCAGGTATTTCTGCACATCTGACAGTGTCATGTAACAAGGCCGTTGTCCACAGAAGTGGGCATGTTCCCGCAGGACCCCTATTAACTTCAGTAGGGATGGCACCATGTTTGAGAGGTCAAAGAAGAGCCCAGACCCAGAAAATGAGACACAGGGTTTTATTAGTTACATACAGTGGCAGTTAAAAGTTACATACGGGGACAGTCCAGTGGCAGTGGGATGAACAGGTGAACCACAAGGCCCCGGGGCCGGCTGAGCCAACGAACCACTACTCACAGACAGCATGCAGTTTCTGTAGCATTTCACTCTCGCTAACAGCTTCTACCTGGCAGCCTTCATTTAACCCAGGGGTGGCCAATCTTTTGGCTTCCCTGGGCCACACTGGGAGGAGAATTGTCTTGGGCTAACACTAATGATGGCTGATGAGATTTTTTTAAAAAAATCACAAAGAAAGTCTCATAATGTTTTAAGAAAGCTTATGACTTTATGTTGGGCTGCATTCAAAGCCATCCTGGGCTGCATGCAGCCTGTGGCCTCTGGGTTGGACAAGCTTGATTTAAGCCAAAACAAAGGGCCTCAGTGTCCTGTACGGCTATGTTCCATGGATTTTCACTTCACTGCTTCACAAGGGCTGAAGGTTCAGATGTTTCTCATAGATAAGGAATGGGTCTCCGAGTTGGCCACTCCCATATTCCTTAGCTCAGAAACTCCAAACACACATTCAGGTGCATCTGCCATATGGGCTTATGGACCAGGAAGGGGAGACCCTTGACTGCCTGTGCTGTCGTGAGTCATTGCTGCTGAACCCCTCGCCATCTTACCTGTGCTTCCACGGCACCCCTGGCTCCAGAGCCTTTGCTCAGCTGACACTTTGTAATTTTCTGCAGGAAGCAAAAGAACTAGGAGTGGGATTCACCCACACATGGCCTGGATTCAGCTATCATGGGGCCAAGGGTGACTTGTTCCTCTTTAGAACCAGAACACTTTATTGTATTCTAGTAGAAACCTTGATGCTGGGTGGCTCTGAAGGAGACCCTATGGGCCCATGGAGTTGACCACTTGTGGCTGGCCAAGGCCTTGTCTTCTGTAGTCAACCACGGGGCTGAGTAGGCTGGTAGGGACGAGTAGGTTTTGGGGTCCAGTAGACCTCAGTTTAGTTCTGCCTCAATCATGTAGCAGCCTTGTGACCCTGAGCATGTTGTTACATTCTCTAGCCTCAGTTTCCTTATCTTTGAAATGGGGATTTAGGACTAACCTGCCAGCTGTTTTGGGGTGAGTGGTGGTTTGTATCAAGCAGCCATCAGAGTACCCGACCTCAGTATCCAGTTCTCTTCCATGTTATTTCTGTCCTCTTCCTCCTCTTCAATAAATGGCCGGCCTTCATTCACACCACATCGATTTAGGTCTGCTAAATGCCAGGTGCAGAGATGGTACAGACAGCTGTGGCTCCCGCCTCATGAAATCCGCAGTCAGGTCTGGGAGGGAAGGGAGGTGCCGAGGATTAGGATGCCAGATGGGAGGATGCTCGTATGCAGGCTTCCATGTGACTAGAGGGCCTCCCAGCTCTGCAAAATGCTTGGTCTCACTTTTTCCAAACTCAGCAGCTATAAAGCAGAGAAGGTCTTTTTCAGGATAAGCGTCAAAAACCCAGTCAGGAAGAAAGGGAAGGGAGAAATGTATTCTTCCTGGACTTTGTCTCCTTCCCCCAGGATTGAAGTCTTCCTCCCTGCACCTTTCAGACGCCTCTCTGCCCTGCCTCTGAGCAGTCAGCCCTTTCCCACCTTGTACTCCCTGCTGCTGTTTGAGCTTTCTTAAGAAAAGACCATCATCTGATCCCGACAGCCCTGCCGTTTGCTCATTGACACTGCTCAACAGACATGCCTATCCCAGGCACACTGGTCTCTGCCTTGTCTCTTGGTGTGTAGAAAAACACAAGCTACACAAGGTATTTAGAGGAGGAGAAATTACATACAGGATTTCTACTTCACAAGAAAAGGTATGGTCAGCAAACATGAAAAGAGTTCATCCTCACTACACATCAGGGAATTACAAA